AAGGAGGCATGTGAATCTACTTCAGAAAAATTAGCTATTGAAACTGTATGGAACACAGTTCCACTTAATAGCAACTGGTACTGGTATTAGATGATTTGAAGAAATAGCTAGATATAGAGGTTATGTTTTCCTCTCATTTCTCATGAAATGGTGGGCCACTTCCAAGATGTTCTCAAGTGACTGGTGGTAGTAGTGGTGGTGGTGGTGGAGTCGGTTCTGACTTGTAACAACCCACATAGGGTTTTCAAGGCTGTAAACCTTTACAGGAGCAAAAAGTCTCATCTTTCTCCTCTGGAACAACTGGTAGTTTTGAACTGCCAACCTTAAGGTTAGTAACCCAGCTTGTAACCACTCCTTTCTTAAGTAGCTAGTAAAAGAATGAAGAGTTTTATAATAATGAATTTGAAAATCATCCACAGCATACTAAACAGTTTAAAATTACTGACCTGGACATATTTCCTAAAGAACAAAATGTTAGTACACATCAGTAACCAGCTTTCATGAAAGGAATAAGCCTTCAGAATGTCAAATGGTCAGAACAGGATTTCGAGGGATTAACTACCACCTGTGGTCTCTTGGCTCCATTGCCCTTCCTGCCTGCTCTCCATTCTGTACTTGTGCAGTATTGCCCTGTGTTTGCACAGCTCGCTGTTCCTCCCCCTCTGGGTCCCCTAGTTCTCTGTGCATGTTAGCCATGGCAGCACTGCTCATGAGTGTCATCCCTGCCTCTCTATCCATCTGGGTCTTCACCCCCTCTGAGCATCTTGACAGCAGGGATAGACTCTTTCCTGCATCCCAGATATAGCTTACTGTAGAAAAGGCTTTGAAACACTCTAAAATTATATTGTCCCTCTACAATGTGTGCTTATGAGGATTTTTAAATGGATGATGCACTTTTCTATGAAAAGTAGAGACCATATGGGTTTTGCATGTAGTCTAGTCACCGTGAGACTTTGCATGTGCTGTTGGCCTAACTACTCCTCATTGTTCGCCTTTCAACCCAAAGACCCTTTCCTTCAGATGTCCTTCTTTGCAATATTCCAGAACCACAATCTTAGTGGGGGATCCATATTTCTGTGACTCTCTGTAACTCCCCAACATGGTATTTAGTATAGGAACCCTGGTGGCTCTGTGGGATAAAAGTGATCTGCTAATGACAGTATCACCAGTTCAAACCCATCAGTCACTCCCCAGTAGAAAGGTAAGACTGCCTTCTCCCATAACAATTGACAGTCTCAGGAATCCTGTGTGGATCACTGTGAGTTGCTATTGATTAGATGGCAGTGTTTTTAAAATTTTTTGTGGTACTCATATATTTTATGGACTCCTGGTACAGCGCTGTAGGATCAACACTGGACTGCAAACCACAAGGTCAGCAGTTCAAATCCACCAGCTGCTCCTCAGAAACTGTATAGAGGGTCACTGTGAGTCAAAACAGTATATGTTGTCGTTAAGTGCCGTTGAATCAGTTCAGACTCATAGCAACCCTTTATAGGGTTTCCAAGAGTGGCTGGTTACTTTGTAGTTAACAGTCCAGTGCTTATCCTATAGCACCACACCAAGACTCCAACTCATATAATAAGTGGCTTCAAAACGTGTGTGGAAAAAATCCATTATTTTTCTATTTAAATTTTCCATAAATTTTTTTGAAGCCTCCTCATAAAGACTTCACTCTAATTGCTATTAAAATATATTCTACTGTAAGGCTACAGAATTCTGTTGGCACAAACAATTACATGCATTCCAAAAGGTTACCAGTTCAAACCCACCCAACTTCTACATGGGAGAAAACCTGAAGATCTACCACCTTAAAGGTTGTTGTTGTTGTTGAGTGCTGTCGAGTCAGTTCCAATTCATAGTAACGCTATTTAGAGTTTCCAAGGTGAGTTTGAACCGTCACCTTGTGGTCCAAACCAACCTTGCAGTCCAGTGCTTATCCTCCAGCACTACACCAGGACTCCACTGTAAACATTATAGCCAAGAAAACCTCACGGGGAAGTTCTCCTTAGTCACGTATGTTGCTATGGCTTGGAATCATCTCAGTGGCAAAGAAAAACAGTGACACTTATAGTTTCCGAAGAAATTCAACCAGAATGTTTCTTAGGCACGTCATCAGGGAAAGCCAATTACTAGAGACAGCTGTCATGTCTGATGAGGTAGAGGACCAGTGAGGTTGAGTGAGATCCTCTATGACAACAATAGCCACAGCGCTGAACCACACACCACTTTCTTCTGTTACACATGGGCTCACCAGAGATTGAGCTGCCTCAGTGGCAACTAATGATCGCAGTAACCCTCGGTTCATAGTACACTTTGTGAACGTGGCACTACAGCTGTCCTGCTCATTGTAATATCCCTGGAGTTGGGGCAGCAAGGCGGGCTCCCCACATCATATCTCTTTGTCTATAATCTCAACTTTTGAGGGTCAAAGTTTAAATAAAAGCCTATTTGAAATAAATGTTGAAAGCTGAATATTAGCCACTGAATGCTTGAAGTTCTTTACCATAATTTTGTTGGGTGTTCCCGTGCTGATAGCATCTTGGGTGGCACAGTCCTTAGTTAATGTGTAATCCAACCTTTTATAAAGTATCCTAGCCGCAATTAAACCACCTGGCTTTAAGTGTTCACTGATAAAACTGTTTCTTCTCCTAAAACTAGAATTGCTTTCTAGATACCTGTCTATAAAAGTAAACACAGAAGAGAAGTGGGTGTTATTATTATCCTTGTAGCACATACTCATTTTCAGATGCAGTTATGTGCTGGAGAAGTGATTAAATCTTTTTTTAATGAACATGATATTTACGTGCTTCATGAAGTTGTTTACTTCAGAAGCTTGGCTGAGAAATCATTTTGAAAATAGTTTTATTTTATATGTGGCGAAAGTGAAACACAAAATACTGTTAGAATGTACCGTTAATGTCTTACTTTCACTCATAGACTTTAAAAATTGAAGTATACTCCGTGGCTCAAGTTTTCAGACACTTAGCAGATACAACACTAATGGGGTACACATACCATAGAATGGTCAACCATTCAGCATCAAAGGGCAGCATTTACCTAAGGACAAAAGTCAGAAAGACTAGAAAAGAAGGAGAAATGATAACAAGAAACATAGGAAGAAAGTGGGACAAGTGGGGGCATTGGAATCACTAAGACGAAATGAAGTCCATGATTTGTTGAATATAAAACTGATGATTTGCTATGTAAGCCTTCACTCAATTCATAATAATAAGTTTAAAAAAAAAAAAAAAAAAAAGAATTGAGGTATAAACCCCTGAATCATAGAAGTCACCCAATCCAGTAATGCCACAGTGGGTTCTATGGAGTCACTTACTCCCACCGAGGCTGGAACCTGCACTGTGCAGATGAGCTGGGGACAGTGCAGAGAATGCGGCCTGAGCCCCAGACCTCCCTCATCAGGACTGCACTGACTTTTCTGTTCAGCTCCTCGGGAAGGGGGCGATTAGGGGAAGTGGCGTTTATTAGTGTTTGTTTGTTTTTTTTTAACAAATAAGTATGTGACATAATCCTGTCTATTATGTGAGGGTAAGTCAGAAAGTACTGCTGCAAAATCATAGGAACATATATTAAACAAAAACATGAAAATGTGAAACTACTGTTTCTTAACACCTCCTCCATGTAGGTCTTTATACTTCTCTCTATTCACGTCCCAAAGATTTCTTTATTCTTTGATTTACACCACATCAAAAGGGCAGATTCGGCATCGTCATCTTCCTCAAGGGACTCAAACCATGTTCCTTTTCAGTGTTGTTAGAGTTTTTGGAACAGAAAGAAGTCTGAAGGGGCAAGATCTGAGCTGTCAGGTAGGTGGGGTGAGGCTTCTGAGTGACATTCTCGTAGGCCAGATCTCTTGCGACCCTTAAAGAATGAGCGGATGCATTGTGTCAAACAAAAAAAAAAGTCCTGGCAAGTCACATGGCCTTTTTCTCACCAGGGCATTTTCATTTTTCTTAAAACTGTTTACTAAAATAGCCCCAGCGACTCTCTTAAGTCTTTCGAGAAAATCTAACCAGATGACTCCTGAGGAGTTCCGAGAAACAGTCACACCATAACCTTCTGAACTGACCTCTGCCTTGACAGAGCCTCTTGTGGTTTAAGTGCCATCCAGTCTGTTCTGACTCATAGCAACCCTGTAAAGGGTTTCTGAGGACCATCTGGTGGGCTTGAACTGCTGACTTTGTGGTTTGCAGTCAAGTGCTGATCCTACAGTACCATAACAGAAGCAGATCCTCTTGAAAGACACAGTTTTGACGGGATACATTTTTCTGAAGGCACACTAATGAGATCAAGACAAGTGTATTCCTGAAAGAATTTGTTTGTAGCCATCCACTGACAGTTGTTGCTGTTATGTGCCGTGGAGTCGGTTCTGACTCATAGCGACCCTGTGCAGGATTTCCAAAGCTGTTAATCTTTAAGGGAGCAGAAAACCTCATTTTTCTCTCGCAGAACAGCTAATAGTTTTATACTGCTGACCCTGAGTTTAGCAGCCTGATTCGTAACCACTACACTACCAGAGCTCCTTCCACTGACAGTAGAGACAGGTTTAAACACAGTTTGTTTGGAATAAGCTCACACATCTATGAAATGAAACCCTAGCAGTTATACTTTTTTACTTACTCTTATAGATGAGGACATTTGAAGTCCAGAAATTTATGTAAAGTTTTAGTAGCTGAGCTGGTTAACTTCAGTACCTATTTACAACTGAGTCGATTCCAATTCATGGATACCCCATATGTATCAGTAGCACTATGCTCCACAGAGCTTTTGATGGCTGATGTTTTGGAACTATATTGTCAGAGCTTTCTTCCTGGATAAACTTCAGTCTTTTCCGTTAACAGTTGACCATGCCAACCATGAATATATTACCAAGGGATTCAGAGCTGGTTTACAGGCTGGCTTAAGGCCTGCTTTTCTGTCCAGTCCTGTTTCTACTTTATCACAGTTCCTACTTTGACATCCTTGTATCTCTTTCCCTTCAGCTTCCAGAGCGAAACTCAGCATGATCAATACCATGTCCAAAATCCGGGGCCAGGAGAAAGGACCGGGCTACCCTCAAGCTGAAGCCCTGCTCGCAGAAGCCATGCTCAAGTTCGGAAGAGAGCTTGGAGACGAGTGCAATTTTGGTAAACAGGTTTTCCTACCTTCTCACTCTTAACTCCTACCTATGGGCTTTGGTGCCCAGCAGAAACTCCGTGGGAAGGTAGTGAAACCATTCTCTATTTTGATCCTCAGTTTGGAATCACGTATACATATGGGCCAAAAAATGAGTTTTTATAATTACTTCATCATTTTCAGTGTGGTCTGTCTTAAGAGTTCTAATTTGTATTGACTTGGTTCCTTTCCCCTGATGCCATCCTAGTCTTTACAGTAGCTCTTGTTGCCATGTTCCACCTCAGGTGTGTCTGGTGGTCACTGAGGACTGTAGCCCGGTGGGCAGTCCCATCAACACAATGTATTCCACAACACACATCACTCCTCTCTCTTAGATCCCAGCTCCTTTCACATCTTGTAAACCTACTCCACTGTCCCCAGTAAGATGGCTTCTTTCTTCACCTCTCTCTCCTCAAACACTCAGCTACCATATTAAACACTTCTGTTTTCAAAACTTTATGATATGGGGTCTCAGTAAATGGTGGTCCTTCCTGGTTGCACCTTCATCTCTGTTCCCTGTATTTGCCTTTGCTAAATGCATGGCCTTGAAGCAGCTCCCGTACTAGGGACACTGGTACTTACAAGATAAATCAGGGAGCTTCCACATTACTTTTAGAGAAAAACGAAGATTTTTCTTTCCTTCCAATCAGGAATAAACCTTGATAGGAGTCTGTGGCTCAGTGTGAACTGCTATCTACAGCAAAGACATTGTTCTCTGAAGACTTTGCACACTCTCTCTTGTCTGTCTGGGCTACCTTCAGAAGACAAACAGTGATGCTGGGTTTTTGTCTGTGATGGGCTCTCTTATTGCAAATGTATTTCATCTTTGTGCTTTGGAGTAAAAGAGCCTCATTCTCCCCTTACAGGCCCAGCACTGGGTGACGTGGGGGAGGCCATGCGAGAACTCTCGGAGGTCAAGGACTCATTGGATATGGAAGTGAAACAGAACTTCATTGACCCCCTTCAGAATCTTCATGACAAAGATCTAAGGGAAATTCAGGTATCTTCCACTAGTCCTCGGAGGGATGGGTTGTTTAACTCATACAGATGAAAGTGTTATTTGCGTGCATATTGTCAGCTCTGGGCACCTGAACTACCAAACTGCTCAGCTAGACAGCCGTAGAGAAACTGCAAAAGCAACACCTTTTGGGATGCTCATGCATTTTAAGTTTCATTTCTACAAGTTCAGTGATAACAGTGAATAGTTTTTCAAACTGTTTTCCTCCAGAATGATGATCATCTTTTCCCTGAGAATATGTAATTTTATTAATTATTCTATAATTTCCTGGGATGATTCATCCCATAAAATGCTGAGTGTGTCTGTTTTAAATAAACAGGTCTTCTGTTTTTCTAAAGCCGTTCCCTTTTAATTTCTCATAATGGCTGTTTGATCTGAGGAAGCACACCTAATTCTTCTCTTTCTAAACTACAGAGAACAGTTGGGCTGTTTCTAATAAGGTTTCCAATATTTTTTTTGTTTCTAACTAGGTTTCTTAGTTATCTAATGCTGCTCTAGCAGATATACCACAAATGGGTGGCTTTAACAAACAGAAATCTATTCTCTCACAGTTTAAGAGATTAGAAATTCAAATTTAGATCCTGGCTGTAGGAGAAGGCTTTCTCTCTGTGTGGGTTCTGGGGAGAAGTCTCTGTCTCCTTTCAGCATCTACGGGCCTGGCTTTCCATGGAGATTTCCAGGTATCTTAGCATCATTCTTCCCCTGGTCTAAGAGCTTCACACTCCAGGAACCCCAAGTTTAAAGGACATATTCCACTCCTGCCTCCCTTGATGATAGCAGGTCTCTCCTTCTCTGCTCTTCCCTCTCCTTTTGTATTTGTAAGATGAAGGATGTTGCAGGCCACACCCCTGTGAAACTCCTATACATCAGATGAGGGTTGTGGTGGAATGTAGGGTACAACAGCCCCCCAGTAATTGTCTTACTGGTTTAATCTCATCACTCCACCTCATGGGAATCCTCACATAACTGCCACATTACACCATTACATAATTGCCAAATCACCAAGAATCATGACCCAGCCAATTTAACATATATTTTGGGGGGACACGATTCAATTTATGAGACTAGGTATGTAATGTTTGTTCATTTATTCATCCCGCATGTATTTGTTGAACTTGTCTGAAGCTTCATTTTCTTGACTGTAAAGTGGACTTCTATAACTTGAAATGAAGTCTTCTTCATCGTCTTAGTTCTGCCATACATCTCCTTCAGTCCTACCATGACAAAGACTAAAGCCAAACCCACTGCCTCCAGTCAATTCCAACTCATAGAAACCCTCTAGGACACAGCGGAGCAGGCCCATAGGGTGTCCAAGGCTATACATCGTACAGAAGCAGACTCTACATCATTCTTCCCTGGAGAGACTAGTGGGTTTCAATCACCAACCTTTTGGTTAACACCCGAGCAGTTAACCATTGTGCAACTAGTATTGCTATAGGTGACAGACTCCCTCTAACTGCAGTGTTCTTCTGTCATACAACTGATCCTAAGTTCCAATGTCCTAAAGGAATTGCCTTCCAGAAGGAGCAATACATTTCATTTGGGTCAGGACATGAATTGGTGGACAGGAGATGTGGTAGAAGGGGAAATCTGGGCTATTACTTTTCTTCTCTTACTTATTTCTTCAACACTCTCACTTTATGTTTTTATCTCCTTCCTTTCCACTCGACATCCCCAAGAGCAAAGGGAAATCTAGCACCTTCTCCCACCCATTCATTGTGGTGGACCACAGCCCTCCAGAAAAATGAAATCCTCTGTAACTTTGCAAAACTGCTTTCCCACCTGGTTCCTAGAGGTGCAAGACAGGGTGGGTTGAAGCTCATTAGATAAAGTCCCTTCCAACTTAGGTTTTCTGTTTGTTTCATCATCTATCAAGTAAGAGAGTGAAACTTAAATGCAGAGTTCCCGAAAGCTTCATCCTCCACGGGCATGTTTTGAAATATAAGTTCCTAGACCCCAGCTCTAGATAATCTGATTCAGGTGATCAGAAGTCCATAGTTTTTAATAAGGCAAGTTAGGTGATTCTGTCAGACCTTTCCAAAAGAGGTTCCTTCCAGTATTTACATTTTATGATTGAAAAGCAAAACTGCCATTCTTTCTTACTGTAGCTCATGGAAAGTGGTTTTTTTATGAGCTGCTTCTTATGAGATACTAATACTTTGGACATTGAAGACTTTTAGAATCTGTGAATTTGCCCTTTCTACATAAGTACTGGGGTGTGCACATCTCCCAGTTTGTGTCATGGAATGGGAGTTATACTCCAACTTGATTTTAGCTCAGCAAGGCCAGACAATGAAGGGTGCTAGTATGTCACACAATTTTATTCTAATGGTTTAAATATTTTTAGCCTTTGGAGGTGCAGAGATGTGTGTGTCCTTATTTCTCTAATTATATTATATCTTAAACTTAGCCCATCCTGTCTTGGAAACCAACGGGAACATGATGGGGAAGTGAGCTGCAAAAAGCCTTCTCTTTATAACCCTTTCAGAGCATATTCCTGTCCTTGACTTTTTCAGCATCATCTGAAGAAGTTGGAGGGACGACGCCTAGACTTTGATTATAAGAAGAAACGACAGGGCAAGATTCCAGATGAAGAACTCCGTCAAGCTCTCGAGAAATTTGATGAGTCTAAAGAGATTGCTGAGTCAAGCATGTTCAACCTGCTGGAGATGGATGTGAGAGACTCTCCTGTGGTTTTTAATTTAAACTTGCCATTTAAGACACTAGATCAGTGTGGTTAAGGGCAATGTAATTTAAATGTTAATATCTCATTACAGTATATGATGAGAAATTCGGTAGGTGGTTGTTTCTTACACATAATTTGAGATTATTAAGCAGATACATAAGTGGTCAAGCTTTTCTGCATCCCTGTTGTTTGACTGAACTAGATTTTTTTCCAGTAATGGATTTTAAAGAATTACCAGTAGTGGGAAGCTAAAACAGGTTTTTTTTGGGTTTAAGCGAGGTAAAGGTCTAATAATAGCCTAAATTAGTATGCTATAGCAATACAGGGCATATTGGCTTCAGTTTGTAAGAGAATATCAACTAAAACCAACCAGAATTGAGTTCTCTACATGGAATAAGATTTTCTGTATTTTAAAGTTGTTGGCATTATCTTTTAAAAAGTAATTTTTATTGAGATTAAGATTATAACGTGGAAACTACATTTGGTGCATAGATTAAAGCTGTGATCACATTTCCGGAGTACTAAATTATTATTTATGACTTTAGAAATTACGTTCTGTTGAGTTCTTCAGTCTTCAAAGCCATGAGGACAGTTCCTCCCACCAATCACATCCAGTCACTGGGTGGTGCAAATGGTTCATTGATTGGCTCTTAACCAATCAGATGTGATTCACCCAAAGATGCCTTGGAAGAAAGGCCTGGTGATCGACTTCTGAAAAGTGAGCCCTTGAGACCTTGTGGAACACAGTTCTACTCTGGCATCATGGGTCCACAGCGATTTTCTTAAAACCACTGAAGTAATAAGACCAGTTAACCAGCTTTGCTTATTCATTCCCATCTCCCCATCCTCACATCAGTTGCTACTGACCAGCTTCTGCCAGAATGTTTAGATAGACTATAAAAGAATTGATGCATTTCAACCATACTAGTGAAGAATATTGGATATAGCATAACCTGCAGGAAGAATGAACAGATCTGTTTTGAGAGAAGTACAACCAGAGTGCTCTTTAGAAGCAAGGATGGTGAGACTTGATCACACGTAATTTGAACATGTTATGAAGAGGGACCAGCCTTTGGAGACAGACATCAAGCTTGGTAAAGGAGAAGGTGAATGACAAAAAGACCCTCCACAAGATGGATTGACACAGTGGCAGCAACAGTGGGCTCAAGCATAGTAACAGTTGTGTGGGTGGTGCAGGATGGTGGTGTTTCATTGTGTTGTGCAGAGGGCCTCTATGAGTCAGAATAGACTCGATGCTACCATATAACAATATGTAGCATTAGACCAGAGATGTTACTGTTGTCTCTGACAGTTAAGAGTCAGAATGTTCACTTAAACCCAAACCAAAGACAAACCCCAAACCAGATGTGGCAGGATGTCATTCCGTGTGCATAAGGTTGCTATGAGTCAAAACAGACTTGATGGCACCTAACAACAGTGACAAGATGTTTGTGTTTATTGGTTAACTTTCATGGCCCTGACTGGTGGTGTGGGAGGCACGTTGAATATACCAGGACTTTCCCATCACCCAGAGACATGTTTGGGGTTGTGTTGTGTGAGGAGAGGTATGTGTTTATGAAACAACCTGTTTTCTCACCTAACAAATGGTATTCTGTAGCCATGAGATTGATCTGAATTGCCACACCCCTTCCTTACATCAGGACTCCACTCCCCCCAAGCCCATGGGACTGCATTACCTCTGTTGACTGTGAAGGGACTGCTCAGCTGGATCACAATGAGACACAAAATGAGAAGAAGCCAGTGAGACACAGAATATGAGAGCTGGAGGGAACACATTATGCCACCTGACCAATCCCTCTGGCTTTACTGACAAGACTCAGAGAGGACCAGGCCTTTATCCCCTTTAGTTCCATGCTCTCATCCTGCCTCCCACGACGTGACAAATCAATCAATATTCAGTTTATTACCAACATTAATATTATCATAGAGAGTGTTGATGGTTCGCTGGTAGAATTCTCCCCTTCCATGCAGAAGGTCTGGATGTGATCCCATCTCATGCACCTTGTGCACAACCACCATGCATCTGCCAGTGGTGGTTTGTGTGATGCTGCAAGGGTTGCAGCTGAGCTTCCAGACTAAGACAGATGAGGATGAAAGGTGTGGTGATCTCTTTCTGAAAATGAGACTTTCTGAAAACTGCAAACCTTATGAAATAATCTCTTTCCTCTAAAGTTAGCCAACTGGTTATCCTTCCCCATCTATTTGGATATAAAGTTCTGGTAATCTAGTAACAGTGCAAAGTAATAAAAACCTGGGCTTGCATCTTAAAAAAATGAAACAAAAAGCTCTCTAGGTACTGTAACGTCATGAGGATGGGACAGGACCATTTAGTCTTCATGAGGTCATGCTTGAATGAGGCAGTTTGCTGGAGGCCAGTCATTCTGCATGAGGTCACCATGAGTTGGGGACCTCCTCAGTGACAGTTGACGTTGCATGAGAAAACTGGGGAGCAAAGAGTCAAGCCCTTTGGCCAGTGCATCTTCTTCCTGTAAAATCAGTAAAGGAGGCTAAAGTCTAGTCTAAAGGCTGTCGGTGAAGATTCTTATTAATGTTACTATTCCTCATGGTATTGGCGTTTCCAAACATATAGATGCTTGCTTGCTTATCTTTAATTAATTTGGAACCTTCAGAATTTTCTATCTCAGCCTGGCCAGTGCCATCACTAAGCAGTGGACCATGTTGGGGGCAGCTCTGGCATATGTGCTGGGCAGTAGTGGTTGTATAAGTGTGGTGACCTGGTCACTGAGACGTGTTTCCTCCATCGACCTGCAGATTGAACAGGTGAGCCAGCTCTCCGCGCTTGTACAAGCCCAGCTGGAGTACCACAAGCAGGCGGTCCAGATTCTGCAGCAGGTCACTGTCCGACTGGAAGAAAGGTAATCTGCGGTCCCTGCATTTTTCTTGTTCATCGTCTTGCTGTACAGTGATGTGTAGTGAAATGGAAACTACGGACCCTCTCTTGAGACAAACTGCCAAGATAGCTGATGATCCTAGATGGGCACCTTGTGGGTTGTCACTCTTGTTTTCCTTCTTCCATGTGCTTTTTGTTCCATTGGATCTTGGGTTTCTTGGCTTTATGAGAAGTTGATACTTGCATTATATTTCCCTGCCACAAGTGAGACACTAGGATGCTAATAGTAATGGATACAAATTGCTGAGCAGATAATCTACAGGCTACTGAGTACATATCAACATCACCCTTTATAACATTCCTGTGAATGGGCAAACTGAGGCTCAGGGAGGTTGACTGATGAGCCCAGGGTCACACACTGCTGAAACAGGAAGTCAGTGTTAAGTCTGAATCTTTCCACACTTGTGTTTCTCTGAATGGTAGTGAACTCTCTGCCTTTGGACCTGCTTCCCTGTGCCTGTCCCACTTCTAAAGATACAGCCCATGGTGGGCTTATAGTCATTTTCTGTGTGAATGGGGCTCCTGGAGCTTGTGGGTTCAGCCACATGTCATGGTCCTGCTCTACAGCGCATGTTGTTATTGAACCAGTTTAAGTAGGATGATTTTGTGGCACTGTGGGTTAATGCACTGGGCTACAAAGTCAGTTTGAACCACAAGGTGGTTGGTTCAAGCTCAACATCTGCACCTTGGAAACCCTATACAGGGTTGCTATGGGTCAGAACCGACTTAATGGCACTTAACAACAGCAGCAGCACTATTCATCTAGTTCTCGTGTGGTGTTGTTGGATAAAGCACTTGACTGAAAGGTTAGTTTGCATTGGAGTTTCAAACTTCCCAGACATACCATGGAAGCCCGGACAGGGTCACTATGAGTTAGAACCAACTGGAGGTTACTTAACAACAACAAACAACAAGATACCACCTGAATAACCTTTATTCTTAGAGACCAGGGCCCTATAGGGCCATCACAGCTGATGAGATGGCTGAATGCATAATGGAGGCTCTACCTGGTTGTGCTAGACCATTGGGAAGCCCGTCGCCTGCTTTCAATGTGCTAGTCTCTCTTCAGCTTCCTGACGAGTGATTTTGTGTGTGAGCCTTCACTCAGTGCACTGTTGTGGAAGTGTGTACTCATCTCTGACACTTCCAGACAGGTTTCACACCATCTCCTGTGAGTTCTGGTGTGGTGCTGTGGGTCAGTGCAACAGACTGCAAAGCCGTTTGAACTGCAAGCTCTCCAGCTGCTCCTCGGAAACCCTATATAGGGGCCGCTATAGATGTCAGCTTGAGGACTAAGGTGCCACCTGACCCAGGCCATTGTGTTTTCAGTAGCCTCATATGGATGCGAAAGCTGGACAGTGAATAAGGAAGATCGTAGAAGAATCGATGCCTTTGAGTTGTTGTATTGGAGGAGAATACTGAAAGTGCCATGGACTGCCAAAAGAACCAATAGATCTGTTTTGGAAGAAGTGCAGCCAGAGTGCTCCTTGGAGGCCAGGATGGCTAAGCTTCGTCTCTCATACTTTGGACATATTGTCCAAAGGAAACAATCGTTGGAGAAGGATGTCATGCTGGGTAAGGTGGAGGGTCAGAGAAAAAGAGGAAGACCCCTAATGAGATGGATTGGCCAGGTGGCATCATTGATGGACTCAAGTGTGGCAGTGGTAGTGAGGTTGGCCCAGGATCGGACATTGTTTCGTTCTGCTGTGCATGGGGTTGCTATGAGTCGGTTCTGACTCGATGGCACCTAACAACAACAACATGGGTTAGAAGAGACTTGACTGCACTTCCCAACATAACAACTGCAAAATGTGAAAGATAATCTGTCTTTGTGACTTCTGTTGAGCGTGATGGAGTTATTTTACTGATTAATCTCTGAAATATGTTCCAAGTTAGTATCCGTCTACTTTCACCACCCCTAAGCTCTCCCCTAAGGAGCTCTGGTAGCGTAGTGGTTATAAATCGGGCTGCTAATCTCACAGTCAGCAGTTTGAAACTACAAGCTGTTCTTCGGGAGAAAGATGAGACTTTCTGCTCCCGTAAAGATTTACAGCCTCAGAAACCCTATACAGAGTCACTATGAGTCGGAACCGACTCCACGGCACATAACAACAACAACAGCAAGCTCTCCCCTGACTCCTGGTGTGGCGCTGTAGGATCAGCACTGAACTGCAAACCACAAGGCCAGCAGTTCAAACCCACCAGCTGCTCCTTAGAAACAGTACCGGGTTCCTAGGAGTCAGAACCAACTTGATGGCACTTAGCAAGAACAATAAGCTCTCCCCACACTTGTAAATCAGTTGTATGAATCCCACCTGGAACTGTGGCATATACTGAGAAACTGAACAGAAAACTTTCATTTATTGGTCTACCTATCTCCTCTCTTACCTTGTTCCTTGCCCCATCCACTATGTCAGAGTGCTTACCATTCCGAAGCACATAGTGATTCCTCCGCCTTAAAGACTTTCTCCTCGTGTTCTGCAGGCCATGGCTTTCCTACACATGCTCACCTGGAAACCACTTTTACGTAGCTTTTCCCTTCTTTAACTTCTCCCTGGAAAGGCCATCCTCCTCTTGTCTTCCACCTCTGCGTTCCTATAGTGCTTAGTATGTGTCTCTTGTAACAGACTTACTCCAATTTATTGTAACTAGTCTATGATCTGCTTCCTCTACAGACACAAGCTACTTGTGGGTAAGAACCATGTCTTATTCATCTTTGCTTACCTGGCACCTATTATAATACATATTTACATAGTGAGCACTGAAGAGATGAGGGAGGAAGTGAGGGGTTGAGAGGAAGATGAAGACCATAAGGGCTTGACCATATAAGGACATCACCGGAAGCACAGACACATACCATCAGAAAATTAAGGGCCCTTTTCAGATCCCCCCTACACTCTGTAATGGTAGACTGACTGGTAGGTGATGCAAGAATGTTCTGGATTTCATTGCTTGTATTCTCACTTCTGAATCGGCTACATGATCTTTTTCTTTCTTTCATGCAGAATAAGACAAGCATCATCTCAGCCTAGAAGAGAGTATCAGCCTAAACCACGAATGAGCCTGGAATTCCCACCTGGGGACAGTGTTCAGCCCAATGGAGGCCTCTCGAACACAGGCACTCCCAAACCTGCAGGTAAGGTGCTTAAGACGGTAAACCTCATGACTTGGGCCTTGCGTCGGTCCCATTGACACCTTTCCAGAAGCTCTAGGATCAGCTTAGCCTGACTGCATAGGAAATATATGACAAGGTGTTTCTTACAGGATCAGTTTGTCAGGCAGAAACTCTTTTAAAGGGATCCTTTCTTTTCTTCTCATTGATCTTTTCTTTCCTTCTTTTCTCTGGAAGCTCTATTTGTCTTCACTCATCAGCACACTCTAATCTGGCATATTTAGTTTTTGACCCTTCGTTGTGGTGGTAAATCACTTGGATATGTAAGTTTAGTGCTGGAGAGTTCCCTTGTATTTTCTTCTGTAACTTCTGCATGCAGGAGAGTGAGTATCTTGGGCACCTGAGTGTCCACATGGACTCACATACAACCCTCCACACCAACTCCTGCAGCATGTTAGGCCCTGTTTTTTGTCGCAGAAGCATATGTATTTGCAGATTAATATTTCTCACATCTCAATTCCTGCTAGGTGTCCTCTTTGCCCGTAGCCCTAACTCTCTGTGCTGTGAGACTGAGGCTGATAAAACTAAAAATGACTTTTTGTCAGGAATATTGATTCATACACAACCATACCTTCTTTCAGGAGACAACAACTTCTTACCCTTCTGCAACTAGTTAGATAGAAGCCTGTCTTTAAGACATTTACATCTTAACATGTGGTTGATTAAAGACGGGGAAACCATTTGTATTGGAATGGTTATCGAAGCCACACAGCTTGCTCCCTTTTCCTGAGTCCCCCAAGCTTGCTATTGTAGAGAATGCAGGTGGGAAAGATGCTCAGGAGACTGGGAAATGGGAACGGGAGCTCTGGGACAGCAGCGAGAGGAAGGGCTCTGCCCCAAGTGCTCAGCTTGTCTGCCCAGGGCACCCTGACTGGTGTCTGAACAGCTTGTCACCAACACAAATCATGTAAGTGACATGTAGCAGTGCTGCTTCCTACTCAGAAACCAAGCACATGTTTATGTTTCGTTCAGAGACGTGCCAATTCTCTGCTTCCTCCAAGCCCAAACAATAAATGGCACTGTTTCTTTTCAAAGCCACCTAGAAGGCCTGGAAGAGTATGTGCTTGTCTGAGCCTGTCAACGTATGTACATGAATACTATGTTAATAGGAGTCATAATTTTACAGAACCAACAAGTTGCTTTCAAGTTGATTTCAGATTTAGGGGACCCACATATGCCAGAGTAAAATTGTGCTTCATAGGAGTTTCAAGGGCTGGCTTTTCAGAAGTTGATAGACTTGACTTCTGAGGTGCCTGTGGTAGGCTTGTATCTCCAGCCTTTTGGTGAACAGAAAATTGTGTTAACTGTTTGCACTGACCAGGGACTCATTATAAATAGATCCCTTTAAAAATATGACTTAATTCTTCATTATTTTACTTATGGTAGAGTAAATTATTTTTTCTACCCCAATACATTCCTCATCTTTATATATGCAACATTTTAACCAGGAGTAAATGATATAATTTGTCACATAATGTCATCTAATAGCTTCAACAGTAAATTCTACTTTCACTGCTAATTTTAGACAAAGAACTGATATTGAAAATGAAGCACCTTTTCCAAGGTCACCTACAGTTAGAACTTGAACCCAATGTTTTATGTTGGTTCCCCCGCCCCCACATTACAGTTATTTTCCTGAGCCTGGAATGATTCATTCTTTAAAAGTGTAAACTAAATTCATAGGTTAAAAAACATCATCTATATGATTAGCTGTATAATTTCAAGTGTGCAGATATCTTAAAGTCCTAGCCTGAAAGAATTCTGAGCATGCAGAGTCCTAAATCTCATATAAACTCTTAAAGCCATTGGATCTCCCTTCTCTGGTCATCTACTGCAAGAAAAGCCTCACTGAGCTCCTCTTGTATATAGCTCGAGGCTAGATGTGGTTACTCTTTATACTGAAAATAGAACTCAACAATTTCCAGCAATCTGAGAAAGCTTCTGAAGACTGTTAGCGGGCAGACTGGTCCTGTGGTCGATACTGGGACCTAGTAGCAAGAGGACGCTTCAGCAGGAAGAGGAGTGAGGGAGACAAAAAAGAGGCATAGCTAGTGAGGTGGGTTTGACAGGTAGCAGATACTGTGCAGTTAAACACCCGTGTCCTTTTGTGTTCTTCTCTCCCTCTCGTACTCTCAGGTGTCCCAATGGATCAGCCATGCTGCCGAGCTCTGTATGACTTTGAGCCTGAAAATGAAGGGGAATTGGGTTTCAAAGAGGGCGATATCATCACACTCACCAACCAAATTGATGAGAACTGGTATGAGGGGATGCTTCATGGTCAGTCAGGCTTTTTCCCCATCAATTATGTGGAAATTTTGGTCTCCCTGCCTCATTAGATGTTATGTTGGCTGGCTCACTTCCTCTTGACCCAGATAGTTATGTTTCACCACTGCTTTGGTAATGCTGCTTACAACACATCCCCAGTGCAGGCCGCAGTGGTCCAAGTCATCCAGCCCCACCAAGTATCTCTGGTTGACTTGTGTGTGCCATCCCATGAGGGTCATGGTGATGGATGGTATCTTCTTAGCTTGGTGGGCATGGCATGTGCTTTTTAAACACCATCTGAGACCAGCCAGTAGTCACAGAACTGCTGTTCATCCAGTTCTCAGGAGGCAGTGGCTTCTTTGAAAATGATCATGAGCCACATCATAGAAAACCTGCCCCCCTCTACCCCCCACCCCACCCCGAAGATATTGTCTATCACCCAGGGGCCATCTGGAGGTCTCAGGTTCTGCATTCAAAGAAGAGAAAGTCCTTGCTTTCACCTTGCCCCTTCCCAAACATGTGAGTCACAGCATTGTCAAAGAAAGTCTCCCTCACCAGAGAATCGTGTTCTGGTTTGAATGAGTTCGTCTCTTGCTGTGTCAGTAGAAACATGTCGAGTGTGGGCTTCTCAGAAAATGGTCACCTGTGTTCCCCTGAAGTATGCTGTTTCTGAGATGCACCCAGTTCTTTCATTCCTACTGTTAATGGGATGGGAGTTCCGTTTTCTTTCTAAGTACAATTATCAGCATGTTATGGGAGACCTACAGAGAGGAAATTCTACTTTATGAGGGCTTGGGAAGGGTTTGTTTTCATCACAGAAATTTCTGTCTCTGTGGAAACATTTCTGAGGGTTACAGGGAAGGGGAAACACATCTGTTTACCTTAGTTTTATTTATTAATTGCGTGTTTTCATGAATCCATTTGGTACACAAGGAGAAAAAAGCAAACACTAGAAATCATTTTCACACTAGTTTCGGCCAATAATGATTTCCTTTCCACTTTTACCTTGTGTTCTTTGAACATCACTTGTGCATATTCTGCCCTCAATGAGGACCAAATAAAGATAATTTTTGTGCTTAGCAGTTTAAGATGTGTGGCTGCAGATGCTAAACTCCTCCCCAATTCAGTCATTATATTTTACTTCAGTCCCTTCAACTCAATCTTCATTCATTATGTGTGTGCAGTGCCGTGCGTACACGTATCAGTGTTTTCTTTTGTATCGGTCATTAAAGTCCTGTTCGTTCCCCAGAGTTCTGGTTATCTAGCTGTACAGACTCTCTGAGGTTTCATGTGCTGCTTCAGATGTGCCCACCTGCGGTAGTGGATCATGTGGACTGAAAGGCAAACCTTACTGCTTAATGTATAAACTCTTTCCATGGGAAGCATCTGTTTCCAATAAATATTACTGAAGACAGAACCAAAGACTCTGGTCCTTTATTTTGTGTCAATTCTTTGATTCTGACCATAGATGGAATATAGAATTCATTCCAGTCTCCACTACGTCTGATGCATTGATGGGTTCCAACCCCAGATCAATCACCCTATAAGCGGTGAACATTTTGTCATCCAGCTGTGAGCTAGCTTAGATATGGGGAATTTGTTGGTAATCCCAGGAAGGAGGATAATTTGAGAGAATAAGAAAGTGGGAAGAGGAGGTCTGATAAAAGAAATAGAATGAGATACAGCAGTGGTGAGGTCATCAGAAGAGTATAATGTTCAGAGGAGCAAATAAATTTACCATTTCAAGGAGTTTTATTGCATGCTTGAAAAGAGAGAAATAGACAAGGAAATAATAGTTTGGACAAAAGCCAGAATTCTTTTATCTGTGTGTGTTTATGGGGGCAGGGCAACCGGGTATTTAGACATATTTTCTGAGCTTGGAAAATAAACATAATCTTTATGTATGGAGCATCTCTTGTATTCTTTTACACTAAAGCCAAATAGTCCAATTGTGCTAATGTAAAATGAAGAATTATAATCCATATCTAACATAAGGATCCCTGATATCATGGTGGTTGAAACACTTGACTGCTAACCAGAAGGTCAGTGGTTCAAACTCACCAACTTCTCTGATGGAGGACAGAGTGGCAGTCTGCTTCCATAAAGACTTGGAGCCTTGGAAGCCCTATAGAGGCAGGTCTGCTCTATCCAACAGGATCGTTATGAGTCAGAATCTGTTCCATGGCAGCAGGTTTCATTTGGGTTATATCTAACAAGAAAAATAATCCTTTTGCTGACTGGAGTTTAGAGCATTACAGATCAATTTCTTACAGCAAATTTTTAGAAAGAAATTACCAATGACATTATTGTGCATATAGAAAATACAAAAGAATACACAGAAAAACTACTATAATCAGTAAGTTAATTTAATGGGATTACTGGATATTATAAGATCAATATTCAAAAACTTCTATTTAATTTCTGTTTACTAATAACAATCAGTTATAAAATGTAATACAAAAGACCACTTACAAAGGCACTGTTGTTGTTGTTGTTAAGTGCCGTCAAGTCAGTTCCGACCCAATGCAACCCCGTACAAGGTTTCTGAGGCTGTAAATCTTTATGGGAGCAGAAAGCCTCATCTTTCTCCCGCAGAACTGCTGGTAGTTTCGAACTGCTGACCTTAAGGTTCTCAGCCCAATTCATAACCATTGCGCTACCAGATCTCCTTTGCAAAGGCATAGACACATAGAAATAAATGTAACAATAATTACATAAGATTGCCACAAAGAACAATTATAAAATGTATTTCCAAGCAAATAAGGAATAATCTATGTTCATGGATTGGAAAAGTCAGCATTGTAAAAACGTTGTTTGTCCCCAAGTTGATATATAGGTTCACTGTGGTTCCAACCCAAATCTCTAGAAAGTGCCTGTGTATGACTGTGTATGAGAGAGAATTGGCAGGCTGATTGTTATTTTTACATGAAAATACAAATATCATTTTCTTGACGAAAGTAGAGTATATACTCTTTCTAGGTATAAAGCATTAAGTGATTAAAGTAGTAGGATATTGATGTATTAGAAAAATCAATGAACTGTATAGAAAAGAGTCCACAAATAGCCATCCATGCATTTGTATCAATCACTCTGTCTCTTTCACGTTACACATTCAGACATGACTCTGCCTGTATAGTAAAGTATTAGTTCCATGTGCTACACAGGAAGCTAATAGCACACCCTCCACCAGAGTATCTCATTATGAGTCAAAATTGAAAGAAAGAATGTGCTGTTACCATAGACTCTGGGAAAGAGAGGCTATTTTAAAGACTACAAATAGATTTCAAATAGGTCACAGAAAAATGGAATGATAGGATAATGGCATGAACATCTATGAGATTTTTAAAGCAACTTTGTATTTAAGAGTCCAATATAAACACAAAAATATTAGATTCAGCACTGTTTATTAATTATAGTAATTTCCTTTTTATAAAACTTTAAATGTTGAAAAGAGGGGTCAACTGTTGACCACCATTGGGGAAGTTGAGATTACCCTAAAACACGTGTCTTCTACAACTCATCTCAGAAAAGTAATTGAACTGGAAATGGAAATAGAACTGAAGGAAACCAAACTAAATTAGAAAGCAGGCTTGGGAGCAACTGTCTCCTGTTATTTTTCTGATAAGTCTTCAAGAAAAAACTGTATGAAAATTATTTTTCATTAGCTTTTCTTTGCTGAAGTAAATCAGTGAACAGTAGGAATGATGTTGGTTGGTGCTGACAAGTCAGTTCTGACTCAGCAGTCCTATGCACAACAGAACAAAACACTGCCAGATCCTGCTTCATTCTCACAATTGTCATTAAGCTTGAGCCCATTGTTGGTGCCACAGTGTTAACCCACCTCATTGGGAGTCTTCCTCTTTTTTGCTGACCCTCCACTTTACTGAACATAATGTCCTCCAGAGACTGGTGCCTCCTGATAATATGTCCAAAGCAGTAAAGACAAAATCTTGCAATCATTGCCTTCAAGGAGCATTCTGGCTGTACCTTTTCCAATAGAAACCTGTTTGTTCTTCTAGAAGTCAATGGTACTTTCAACATTCTTCTAGAGCATCATCACTCAAGTGTATCTTCTATGGTCTTCCGTAGTCATTGTCCAACTTTAACATGCACATAGGCAATTGAAAATACCATGGATTTGGTTAGGTACACTTTAGTCCTTAAACTGATAACTTGGCTCTTGAATACTTTAAATAGGTCTTATGCAGCACATTTGCCTATTGAAATATGTCATTTGATTTCTTGACTGCTGCTTCCACGAGTGTTCATTGTGGATCCAAGGAAAATGACATCTTTGACAACTTCCATCTTTTCTCCATTTATCATAATCTTAATTAATAACCCAGTTGTGAGGCTTTTGGTCTTTGATCATCACTAAGTATTTAAAGTCCTCTTGACTGTTAAGCAATGTTGTATAATCTGTACATTGCTGTTTGTTAGTTGAGTCATCCTCTAATCCTGATACCATGCTGTTCTTTTTGTAATCCAGCTTCACGGATCATTTGCTCAGCATATACATTGAATAAGTATGGTGAGAGAATACAGCCCTAGCATGCCCCACTCAGATTTCAGTTTGTTGTACTCTGGTAGCTTCTGTGTTCGGTGATGCTGGTAACCATGTCACTGGTATTTTGAAGAACAGCAGTGTCACACATGGTGGATAGGTTTCAGTGGCACTTCCAGACTAAGAGTAGGAAGAAGGAGAGGCTGACTACTTCTGAATAATTAGCCACTGAAAACCTCATGAATATTAGTGGAACATTGTCAAATATAGTTACAAAAGATGAAAGCATATTAATGGCACCAGAATATTGTCATATATAGTGCCAGAACATAAGATCCTTAGGTTTGAAGGCACTCAAAATGTGACTCGGGAAGAGTTGCTTCGTCAAAATAAAGTTGACCATCGTGATTTGAATTAAGTAAAGCTTTTGGGACCTTCATTTGTTGATGGGACACAATTAAAAAAAAGTGGAGGAACAACATGTAATCCTCCATTAATAAGCAGAACATGGAATGTACAAAGTATGAATCTATGAAACTATGAAGTCAAAAATGAAGTGGAACACAT